AGTGGAGGTGAGGTGGTTTATGGTGGTTGGGAACACATCCACTTCGAATGTGTGGGGTCAAGGTCCGTGTCTTGGGAAGCCTGGCCCAGCAATGTAAGAGCTGGTACAGTAGACATTGCAGGGTGTTGGCTTGCTGACCTGGTGCCTTCTCTGTACGTTGTGAAAGTAAAATGTTAAAAATAGAACTAAAATTTTGTTTTGTGACAGAATACGATAGAGGTCAAAGGATGTCCTGACCTCATAGGTGGTTAACCTTGTTCTCTTTTTGCAAAGAGCCTAAAACTGACAGAATAGGTTGAGAAGACTTTCTGCTATATTTTTCACACTTTCAGTTTTCCAAATACATTTTTACAGCCATTTGAGATAGAACAAGCATCTAAGAAGCAACTGTAATAAATGCTACATGGTGTAGTACTGTCCTTTTAAAAAACAAAAAGCCCAGGCATAATTGCATTGTATTCAGGTGGATAATTACAGAAGCAGTTAAGGCAGAATGCTTCCAAACATGTCTGTATGTTGGATTTGAAACAGCTTTTTTTTTTTTTTGCCTTTTTTTTTTTCCCCCTGAGCAGTTGTTTTTTTTTTTCTTACTGAAAGCCACGTAGGATCAAAGTTTATCCATACCCACACTGAAAGAAATGACTAAAAACTGTAGCAGTGCCCATGTTTCTGAAACTTTTGGTGGGAAAAAAAAAAACCCGCAACTCCTGGCACAGGCACGTTTTGTGTGTCGTCTATTCTGGTGATGTCCTGGCAGTGCTGTTACAGTTTATCCATGCAGCCACTATATCCCAGTCCTCAGTGTTGTATAACGAAGTTATGCGAATTTGGTCCAGACTGAAAAATGCCGTTATGACTTTAGTTCTGAAGGATTTTAACCTCAAATTACAGACTTTCCGTCAAACTGCCTTATTCATTAAATTAAATAGTGGAATGAAAGGTTCACAGCGCTCATAAAGCCTTTTTGGTAAGGTCAAATTCTGCCCCTGGCATATAGCAAACAAATGAGCTTAAACTGTAGGGGAATCTTGTAGGCTGTCATTAATGGCTTTCACCAAACCATTAATGTAGCCTCAGGGCTGAAGTACCTTGTGTGGCCACTGGCCTATGTTTAGAAATATAAGTGCCTTTGGCTTGATAGGCTAATATAATTGGATAAAGACCACTTCATTAGGATGAATTCAAATGAGTCATTGCTACTCAAATTGTAGATGCAGCTAAAAATGAAAGAAGAAAGTTAACTTTGCTTGTACTGTATTTATTTTCTTTCTAAGCCTGGAAAGGGAAGTCCAGATACTAATAAATGTAAATTTGCTTTAATTCTGCTAATCTTGTTCACTGCATGGAAAGAAGTTAATTGAAGTCAGTGGGCGCACAGTAGAAAGCGCTGGGACCCGCTGACTGCAATGGATGGCCTTCCTGCTCACTTGGACACCTCTACAGGAGCCACTAGCTAAACTTTAAGGGAGAGTGAGTCTGAGGTATTTGAAGGGAGAGTTGGACTGATGTGAGCCTGCTGGAAAACTTGAGAAAAAGGGGATATGAACAGGGAAGTGTGGATGAAATGCAGCAGAGGTACTGGAAAGCGGCACCTTTTTTAAGTGCACATCCTTGGCCTGGCCCCTAGCAGCCCTGCAGAGAGCCCTGGTGCAGGCGGTTGAATGGTCTGTATGCAGTCAATGCTGCCTTTAGGTTAAAGGTGTGGTTTTGTTTGGATTTTAAATGTTGTTGGCAGCTTGCCACAGAGAAAAGGGACTGTAGCTGAGTAATAAGAAACCTCATTCATCCTTGTTGTAAATGGACTGAGTAATATTAGTTTACATTTGGAATGAATCTGACCCAGTATCTTGCTGTAAATCTGAAGTTTGTGCTGAACAAAAAGTCAGTATGAGCTATAAATACTTCTCAGTTGCTACTCATACTAGAGATTTGGGACAGAGCACATCACATGTGGATGAAGTCTCACTTTGCTGAGGTGAGACCTTGTATGATTTTAGCATTAAATTATTTTATTAACAAACCGAGGGTAGCTGCGTTTTATAGAGTAAACATATTATTTTTATTTAAGAATGATTTCTTAAAGAAGTGTGGTGATTGTTTTGCTGACTATGCTTTCCATTCCCAGAAAAGGGAGATGGCTGTCACATGTTGTAGGTGAAATGTGTATTTGTTAAGTACTAGCCTAAACCATAACCGCTCAGTATGTGTGTGCTGGAGTCCTTCATTCTGGAGAAGGCATGTATTCATACGAAAATTAGACTAAAATGGAGAAATTATTTGAGGGAAGACGACACAATAACAACCGGAAATGGGTATTGACACAGTGTACGAAAGGGAGCAGCAGGTAAGCGATTAGGTTTCTTTATCTTCGCAGATAAGGTTGGAGGAGACAGTTAAACCAGGCTGGTTTTCTCTGATACGGAGGGAAGACTTGTGTACGTTCCACGAGCTCACAGAATTGTCACTGAAATGCAAATGCAGCAGAACTGCTGCTCCGGACCAGTTCCTCCTATTTAGGAAGGGATGAAGCAGAATTCCCTCTTAAGTTCTTATCCTCTCCCTTCCAGCTCTGCAGATTAGCTCCTGAAACCTTCCACAGCTCTGTTAGGTGGAGCTTGCCATCGTCTGGGACTGTTGCGTAGCTGTCATGTGAGGCAGAATATTTGAGCAGGTAGTTAGTTGAATGATGCCATTTGAATGCAGGTTCTTGCAATAACCTTCATGCTTTCCACAGTGTTTGTATCTTTTGTGACTGTGAGATTATTATGTGTGTTGAGGACAAAATGAATGTGGGGGGTTTTTTTTCTGACTTTTGAGCTTTGCTTATAAAATGGTTATGGTAAAGTCAAGGGAAAAAAAAAAGTGTTCTTCAGATCTGCACAAAATATACTTTCATGTGCTTAGATTTTAAATCCTTACAATCTCTGCCTGAAATGCAAAGCTCTTTGGTTGGTGGGAAGAATAATAACTAAATTATTTGTCTTTATTCCAAGCAAGATTTCAGTTGTATTTTTTGTTTGTTTGTTTTGGCAAGGTGATTCTCTAGGGATGTGGGGTATGCAAGACATCCCTCTCTGTGTACCTAAAATATAATTCACCTCCACCACAGCCCTATCCTGTATGTTTGTGGTTAGATCTAAAATTAATTCCACAAGGTGGGATGCTGACCCTTATCCTTTTATAACAGCATAAGTTAATATCGAAATTGAAAAAGAAAAAGCTGTTAAGTTGCTTTGGGATATATGATAAGGAGATTTCCTAGGGTGAAGAAAACAATGCAAAGAAGAATTCATTTTATCAGAAACACTCCTCTGAAAGTAGCAGTGGATTTAGGTTTTGCTGTTGTGTTAATTGTCTTCTGGAAGTCCGCTGAGAGACAGCGTTAACTTCCTTCAAATAAAAACGTTTTTAATATTGTTTGCTTTAAACTCAACTTCTGAACATGGTGAGTGATTATTTAAATCTATCCCCTAAAGATTTATCCCTGTACGCTTCCATTTTGCAGAACACTGGGCATTGAATTTTGGACTTTTCCAAACATAGTGGGTGCCTTTTATTGAGCTGGGCACTCCTGAAGCACTGGGGTGCTCGTGCCCGCACCCTTCCCTGGGGACTCTGTCAGTGGGCTTTGTGCATTTTGTTTTGTTAATGTGGTTTTTTGTTTGTTTTTCCTCCTCCCGGAGGCAACAACATGCTTCAAACTAAGAAAATGTCTTCAATTTTTTTTATTGGAATAAGCAGACAGAAGGTCTATTACGGCATCGTAGTTTGTACCCCAAAGTTTTAATTCCATGTGCTAATTGTGAATAGGACAGACAAAAGCTTTTTAGGTTGAAAAAAATGAAATACAAAGGCTGCAGGCTTTACATGGTTCTGGTCTTATTTTAACTAGTTCCTGAATGGTGTATGTAGCACATTTTGGTGGTTTATTAAGGTTGTCCAAGATATGACAGGTCAGAACTAGGGCAATAAAAGTTTGTATTTTATTTGTTTAGATCTTAAGCCCTGTGACTTTCATTTTCAGAGTAACAATGATAAGCCAAGATAGGAGTCAAGGTCAAAGTAGTAATTTGCGTTTCTCTTGCCTTTTCTTGGCTTCTGCTCACTTAAGGAAGTCTCAAGCTGTGTGTTTGGTGGAGAGATGTGTTGCTGGACCACACAGGGCTGAATCGGAAACAAACCTTGTGCCTCTCAAAAACTGGCTGTGTAAGGAGTCCCCGCAGCAGCTGCTGCACACCGCTGATCCTTTCTTACTGCCTCAAGATTGCCAGGGCAGACTCCGCCTTATTCGAGTGTGCCACAGATATGACTCATGTATTTTCAGTTGTATTCATCTATTTATTGTATTTACTGAAAACAAAGCATGCTCTGTCTGTGGAGTGGAAGTTGCAAATCCTGGCTGACAGAAGAAAGCTAGCAGTGGCTGTAGGCCAGGGGAGAGAAGGGCATCCCAGGGAGGCTGCATTCCCTGGTTGTAATTTGGAGATGTGGAGCGTACAGCTTGCACATCCCAGTTTGTCCGGCTGAATGGGGACTGATTTACCGGACCACCGTGAGACAAACAAGTGAGCAACGGTTTGCTCTGCCCTATAGAGTACTGCTAAATGCTGTTCTGAGTAACACCTCTATGGTGGGATTGGTGAAACTTGAGCTTGCCTTTCCATGTCACTGTGTTTTTTGGGTTTGTTGGGTGGTTTGGGTTTTTGTTTTGTTTTGTTTTTTTTGAAAGCAAAGGAGGAAAATGTCTATAGTGGTGCTGAAGACAGCTGATTTTTATCTTTTTCATTCACAGTTAATTTTTGTAAGAGATTTGGATTATGGTTCTCCAAATCTAAAAATAGTTTTAAAAATAATGAGAACTCTGTAATAGCAACTTACTGATTTAACCTTTTTTTTCTTCTTATAGAACAGCACACCGGTCCGCTAGCATAGCAGAAAACATTATCTCTGAAATAAGTTTTAGAATAGTTAATTCTATATTTTCTTTTTTCTTCTCTGTAATCTAAAAATCTGTCCAGATTTTAAGTGCTTGGCATCTGAGTATTCAGAAAAATTTTTTAACCTAGTTTCTATTTCAAGTTTTCCTTTGTCGGACATTATGAATCTAGCACATATGCATCCTTCAAGAACTGGAGAAACTGCTTTTTCATTGTTTGGCAGCCACAGTCCTGCTCCCTTTCTGCTTTTGGAGGAGAAGAATTAGGCAGTAGTTGCAATAAGGCACATTCTGGGGATCGCATCAAGACGTATTTGGCACTGCTGGAGAGCCATGCTGGCACAATGCAAACCTTGGCAAGATGCGAGAGTGTTTTGCCCCGGTTTTTGTGCAGTTACATCACAGTCTCTTTTGTGAACTTTTGGGGATGTGATGATTTTCTCCAATTCAGGACACTTGCTGAGGGTTTATTTCACCTAAGATGAAGGAAAACTTTGTGCCCTGTACACATTGATTAAAACTGGCAAGAGTATCGTGAGCACCGCATCTCTGAAGCCTTCTGAGTACGGAGCAGCAGCCAAGCCTTTCTCTGTGCTTGTTTGCATTGTTTAAACCGACATATTTTCTTTGGCTCTTGACTCAGTACAGTTAACAAATAGATGTTTTGCCCCTGAAGGAGAGGTTTGTTTTTCTTATTGCTTGGTTAATCCATTCTGAAGGTTACTCTAGAATACAATTTACTATCATCTAAAACAAGTCTATTTATACAAGAGCACTTTCAAACACTTTTATCTTTTACTTTCCTGTTCATCCGTTAAAAACTATTTTAGTTTGCAGTTGCGAAAGACAGAGAATTCCAAAAATTGTCTGACTCAATTTTGTTTTCATGCATGAAAAGGGAAATGCCAAGGAAAATTAAATGGTTTGGTAATCCTCTAAAACTGAAAGGATTATATTTTCATCCTGTTTTCTCTTTTGTAGAAACTTGATGTTAAAAATACCATCATTCTTCAACTTTAGCAAGAAC